GCCAGAAACCTTTGCCTTCCAGTTGGCCCTTCACCCTGAAAAGCCTGGTCTGCCCAGCAAGACTGCCAATTCTGCTTATTACCCACAGGCCAGAAGATAAAACCAAGGGGCTGGCGGTTATGATTGATGCCAGGAAGCAGCCTCCACACCCTTGTCTGGTCAGTGCCCTGCAGGCCACCCAGGTGAGTGAGAGATAGACAGCCTCAGCCTAGCAAGTCTTGGGAACACCAGGGGGGACCTTCTGATATTTTTTGGAGCCCAAGGGGGCTCAGAGCTGGGTCCAGGGCCCCCAGGCAGGGAATCCTAGTTGCAGCTAGCAGAAACCCCAGCCCAAACAGGCTTAAAGACAAAAATGGTTTATTGGTTCATTCGACTCAACAGTCCAGGAGTTAATTCCAACTTCAAGTATGGCTTGATTCAGGGGCTCAACTATTGTCACCAAAATCTGGTTCTTCTCTCTCCATTTCTGGCCCCATTCTCCTGGGAGGGTGCCTGTCTCAGCCAGGTCCCCCTTTTGAGGGCAATCTTGCTCCCAGCAATTCTAACTTCATTCAAGTTCAGTAGGAAAGAGTGCGAGATTCTTTTCCCAGAAGTCCCGGCAAAAGTTTCTTCTCCTTAGTGCTTTTTGGCTCAGGTGTCCATCCATCAACCAACCTCTGTGGCCAGGAGAATGTGACACACTGGCCTTGACTTAGGGCACATGAACCTCATGGACTGAGACTGACAGGGGGAAGAGATCCCTAACTAGCTTGTAGAAACAGCAGAGTAAATGGAAATTCAGCATATGCTTACCTCAGGGTTGGATCGCCTCCTCCTCATTACATAGGTGGGGAAACTGAGGCCTGGAGGGGGCAGGTCAGCTAGGAAGTTTACAACACAGCTTGAACCTGCTTCTCTCTTGATGACCAATGGTTCACCCTCCAAACATACCACACAAGGGTCCTAGGCTTGGGGAACCCCCCTGCCCAGTCCCCATGGCCCATTCGCCTGCACCTTTGTGGGGAGGCTCCGTGAAGACCTAGGCCGAGCAGCTCTGAAATTGTTCTCTCTGACAGGCCCTGGACCCAGCCTCCATTGGTGCCATGCTCTTCCTGGGGGAGAAGGAGACGGCTCTCCCCCTGGAGACGTTACCTGATATCCAGGTGAGGCGGAGGCAGCGTTGGCAGAGGTGGAGAGGAGATGTTGAGCTTTAGCTGAGCTGGAGTGAAGAGTTGCAGAAGTCACAATCTAGGAGAGGCCCTAAAACAGTGTAGTGTGTGTAGGTCAATGTATCCAAGGCCCAGATGCTACGACTCTTCACCCCTGCCCCGGTGGCAGGAGCTTGCCAAGTCAGTCACAGGCTATTTCTCTCCGGCGATCCTAGCAACGCCTGGTGGGCACCACCATGTGATCAAGAGCTGCACATGGCACGAAAACTATATTTGAAAAGCTTCATCTGGTCAGCCCCTCCCCGCCTTCCTTTTCAGATCGGGAAAATGAGACCCAAGGCCACACAGCCAGCTGGAGGTAGAGGTGCCTTTCTCACCTGATCTTCCTGTATTTCTCTCCCTAGTTTCTCTCAGCCTCTCCAGCTCAGACGCAGAGTTGATTTGGGACTTTGCAAGGAAGAGCCTAGCAGCTCCCTTTACTTAGTGCCATGTGCCACAATCGTGAACGTGGACACCCCGCCCTCTGCCCTGCTTCAGGGAGTGATTTCAAAGGCCTCCTTCTTCCTGGTTAGTGATGAGGCATTGTGAGCTAGAGATGTACTCTTCAAGCTTGGATGTGCCTATGAGTCACTTGGGGATCTCATCAAAGTGCAAGTTTCAGTGAAGTAGTTCCGTCTGAGGCCTGGGGCTCTGCATCTCTACCATTCCCTTAGTTGCTGCTGATGCTGCTGGTCTGTGGACCACACTTTGAGTACCAGGGACAAGTGGGCCCTCAAACCACAGAATCTGCCCAATCCCAAACTTAGGTATCTGGAGTTGTTCGTAGCATAAACCTCAAGCTTCACTGCCTGGGGGAAGCAGTCACTTAGTTCCTCCTCCATGTCTTAGGGGAGACTGTAAGGATTTGGTGACCTTTCTCCACAGCCTCAAGGAGGAGACAGCACCTTGGTGAGTCACCAAAGAACAGTGTAAGGGTTACAAGGAAGTTACATGACAAGGGCCACCTTCAATCAAGGTGTGTGATTGCCTGGAGAGCTGGGCTGGGAAAGGAGGAAGCTAGAGGGAGAAAGTGCTGTGATTGATTAATGATGTCTGCCTTGGGCA